AAATCGACTGCAATTTTTTATGGAGTGGTTAGAAGTATGAGTCAACTCAGTCAGAACTTAACGCGATGACTCACCCCATGTTTTTTTTTTCGATTTGTTAATCGCATGTTTAGTTTTTCGAATGAGAAGTTATTTGGGTCTGATCACTATTTAGCTTGTTTTGATCTCATAATACTCCCTGCAGGTAGTGATGGGATGGATTATTTGTGAAAAGTTCTTTGAGAACTATCCTTATTTATACTTATATGGTTATTATTATTACTATTATCTACATGATCAATATTATTACCAATATTAGCCAGCATTATTATTGTTGTTGTTGATAATAAGTATTACTGATGTTCTGTTCTTAGTGCTGAACGTGACGGATGAATCTGTACTTGATTTCTGAAAAAGTCGAAATTTGCTCATTCAAAATATGATATCGTTTTGTTCTAATATAATTGTCATCTTTATTGATCAGTCCTCATTTTTGTGCATTTATTCATAGGTGTTTATTGAAAAGCGTTGATCGTAAAGTTTACTTCAACAATTTCTGAATGAACGCAATTAATTGAGTGCGGTTATAAAGTAATTGAACGAATCTTGATATGTGGTGTTGTTTTGTATGCGATTGAAATGCTCAATTATATTGGGTGTAGACGTGATGTAGCAAATCTTAATTGCACCTCAGTTTGCCATCATCTTTGGTGAGAGCTATTGACGTATGATGTCGTTTCATAGCATCTGATATGGTGTGCCTTATTTTTGTTCAGTGATAGGGTCTGGAATGACGTGATTCATTACCAATTCAACTGATTTGAAACGGAAATATTCTCAAAGTGAGAGTTACTTTTCGTATAGCCAGTGTTTTCAGTATTCTCGTGTCGAAGCGTCGTCGTTCTTGCTCAAGGAAGAAGTTTTTGCAAATCCAATATCTTAATCTAGCATGTCTTTGGGGTTATTTATAAAAATTAACGAATCATTGCAGTCGATAAATCAGATCCCTTACAGTTGCAATTTCTCAGCTTCCACCTCAACCAATGTTGATAAATTGTTTCGCAGTTGATCTGCAACTATTTTGTGTGAATTTTTCAGCAATTTTCATGATGGCAGTTGAGTACTTTTTAAATAAAATTTGCAGTTTTATTCAGTTTCGCTAACTCAAAAAGATAACGCAATAACCAAATCGCACACGTACTNATCTACTTAACATTGTTGACCACGTCACACTTACGGGATGGGATGTCTTAGAATATTATTGCTTGATCTGACTTGATTTCATTGAATATGGTCGAGTGCCTGGCAATGGATGTGGAATGAGCTGTGAAGTGATGGATGTTGTTTTAGTGGTTGATCGATAAGTGTTGAATAACGGTTACAGCTGCATTGCTGAGTATCATCCATTGATTTTGCACAGCACTTCTCATTATACTATCACAAGCAAACATGCTCGTTTCAAGTATTCAATCAATTCCTTGTTAACGTTTGTATCAGTCGGCTAGTCGGTCATCATATGATTAAATTCAGCCATAAGTTTTCCGATTGTCTTATTTGGGTAACGAGATTGTCAACAAATATCGCCTCCTTCGCAAATCTTCACATGAAATTCTAAATCAGTGGGGTTTCAATTTTTGAAATAATCTTCACGCAGTCAATCCTGGCCTTCATTGCTGTTGTTTCTCAGAAGCGTAAATCATCACTGACCGCAAATCATCATTATATTTTCACGTAATCAATATATATCTAAGATTGTATGAGCGAGCAACAAGTAGAATAAGTGTTCACGTGAATACGACAGTATTGGATCAGACAGACGTAAACACATGTGAGATGAATGGTATGAACCTGAAATAGCGTTGGTAGCATGCAGCAGTGATAACATGAATTTGTTTCTTGCCTCATCACTTATTCAGGGTTTTTGAAGAAACT